TGTGTGCGTTTGGGGTGAGGAAAGGGGGGGGTTGTTTGAACGAAAATGACTAAAAACGCGGAAGGCTCGAGGGAGGAGCTGTGCAAAATCGCGGACGAAGAGCTGATGAAGTGGAGCAAGGAGGAGCTGGTGAGGAGACTTAGGAGATCGGACGCCGAGAAGATGACGGTGATGATCGACCACAGTAACCTGATCAAGGAGGTGAACCGGCGGCTGCAGGTCCACCTGACCGAGATCCGAGGGCTCAAGGAGGTCAACCAGAAGCTGCAGGAGGACAACCAGGAGCTGCGGGACCTCTGCTGCTTCCTGGACGACGACCGGCAGAAGGGCAAGAAGGTGTCCCGGGAGTGGCAGCGGCTGGGCAGGTACACGGCGGGAGTGATGCGCAAAGAAGTTGCCCTGTACTTGCAGAAAATGAAGGAGCTGGAGGTGAGGCAGGACGAGGTGGTGAAGGAGAACCTGGAACTGAAGGAGATGTGCCTGATGCTGGACGAGGAGAAGAGCGCGGGCAGTCGCAGCTCCATAGACAGCCAGTCGAGCCTTCTCCACCTGAACGCCACAAGTGGTTTGAGGGACCTGGGAGACGGCAGCAGCACCTCCAGCACGGGGAGCACCGACAGCCCTGACCACCACAAACAGTTAGCAGCGGGCAGCCCCGAGCACCTCCACAAGCACCGCGCTCCGACCGGGGGCAGCCCCGAGCACCAGAAGCACACCCTAGGCACCGGCAGCCCCGAGCTTCTGCCCAAGCACATGGTCAGCTCCAGCCCCGACCGCCCGAAGCACATGATGGTGGGAACTCCGACCCCGGAGCATCTGCAGCAGCACCGAGGCGGCAGCCCCGAGCGCCTTAAGCAACATTACGGTGGCAGCCCCGAGCATGTGAAACACTTGGGCGGCAGCGGCAGCAAGGAAGGGACTCTGCGGAGACCATCGACGGCAGCGGCAGCGCCAGACGAGCTTTCGCCTCATCACAGAAGTGTGTACAATGGGATGAATGGTGGGTTGGTTGACCTACTGAAACCACAGGTGTCTTTGCAGAGACTACAGGCACATAGCCACAATATTTGAATTACCTTTCGGAGTTTAATGCATAGATTTCAGTGCATTAATAGAGTGCGTTGTCTGACCACATGCAGCACTAACGCATGTGTTCAATCATGACATGAAAACTTCCTGATGCATGTTCGCTTGCTTTGTGCATCATGCCTATCTTTCGTGGTATTCCCGTACCTGTAAATTATTAATTGTAAAATTAGTCAATAGACCAATTTGCAGGTCTTTTACGGTGGCGCTACAATTTCTGCATGAAATCAATGCATTTACATCACTATATATAAAAACACAATTCTTACTTCAGAGCAGAAATATTTCAGATAGGAGCTAACCTCCAAAAGCGTAGTGCGTTTTGTTTGTGGAATTTCAGGAGATCCTACTTAAAATTCAGCTGAACAGGTTATTTAATGCACTGTTAATAAATGACAACTCTTTTCTCCACCTAGAGAAATAATTTCCGTTGCACGATAAATTGATGCCCCTCACGTGGCACCGTACATCAGTCTGACAGGGTGTACATTGTGTAAATGTGTTTATGTACTCGTTAATCCGATAAAATGCATTTAACATCTTTTCCATGTGAACATAATAGGCAAATAGTGTACAGCTTGTCTTCGGTAGAAATATCTAAGTATGACCCTAATGGTGGGTTTTTAGGCTTTTGGTGCTGTGTATATAATTGAAGTCCATTAGGATTAAAGCCTTTATATTGCATTTGTAATAATGAAAGCTACTTATTAGATTACTTGCAATTAGTTTAATTGCAGATGATTTAGGAAATGGTTTGTGCCTTTTTGCATATAAGAATTAAGCCCCCACCATATTGACATATATACCTGAATTTCATATTTGAGACTTATTCACTTGTAAATCAAGTTATATAAAATTCTTGTCAGTTGTAAATGCTGTTTATAATCTTGGACTCAAGCTGGGTTTGGTAGTCAATTTGAATTAAATGGGAAAAGCCTAAACTTTTAATAGCAGCCTTACAATCAAATTAATTTTGATGAATTTACTTGCAGTGTTAAGGCTCGAATCAAGCTCTGTATTTCATGCTGAAAGATGTACCATTTTAAAAAGATGATGCCCAGGTTTCATTGATATGTTTTTTTCATTTTGTTAATTAATCTAACATAAGGTATTCTAATTATCTGTAATTTTCCAGAACGTTTGTTCGTATTACATTCATTGTTTATGTGACTATGATCTTGAGGGAAGGCATTTCAGGAACAACAAGATCTAATTCTCACTGTACAGTAAGATGATCATGATCATCAAGCAGTCAGAGAGGTCTGGGATCAAGAATTTGTTGACTGCTGAGCTGGCCTAACTGGAATCATCAATTTTGGCTTCCATGTATTTTTTTTGTTTGGTTCAGGAGCCAAGTTATAGATTGTTGATTTAGTTCCAAGTCACTAATATTTGACACTTGAAGCAGGATCTTGAGCATTCTTGGATGCCACTGCTTAACATTGGATTAGGTAGCAACGTTGCCCTGTCATTTCCAAGATCTAGGTCTGAATCTCACCCAAACTTCAACAGCTGAATGATTTCCAAGTGAAATGGAGCAGGATCAGTTCATTTCAAATATGTGTGAATCAGTCCACAAGTTAAATTTTATAATACAGACAATTTTGTCATATTACTAAGCAAAGCTGCAACTGTATGCTTGTCTGAGGTCAGAATTAAGGCATGTTATTGGGAGTATTATTGTAGAATCTTTACTCTGTATGTAATCTGCACTGTCAGTGGTTTGTCTTGCTGCTAATTCTGTGCAATAGCAAAAGTATTTTCAATTCCTAATTAAACACCAAACAATTAACTTTTTTGCTCCAGTTAAGCAAGAGGAATACCAAGAATAAATCAAATTTGAATCAAACAGTGAATACAATAATCGGAGGTAACAGTAGGGAGTTACTTTGCAATTTAAACTGGTAGGTGCTTATCCTTAATGCCCAAATCACAGATGTGCACGGGAAGAGCCACTCCAGAGTTGAGTGGCATGGGAATGGGGGCTGCAGTGGCCATTGTTGTAAAGGCTTTGGGATGATGGACCTGACTAGTAGTGCTTTTATGGCAAGACATAAATGGAACAGGATCCACTTAAGGAGACTGAGAATTGGACATTGCATGTCAAAAAGGTCACTGGGACAGAACTCAGACTGGAAGAAATTACAATGTAGCATCTTACAGTGCAGAAAAAGACCATTTGGCCAATTGTGTCTATACCAACTTTTTGAAAGACCCATTGAACAAGTCCACATCCCTAATTGTTCACTGTAGTTGTTCAGTTTTTTAACTATTTCAGATATACCCTTCATTTTGGCTAGCTGTTAAATCTGCTTTTGCATACTTCCAGATGGTGCGTTCCAGATCATCACAACCTGCAGAATAAAAGAACTCACCTCATCTTAGTGTTTAAGAAAGAAAATTTTGCATTTGTAGGTAGTGAGGACTCGAAAATTCCTTTTTAAATTATTGTAAGTCTGGCAGTTTTAATATGGTGTTTACAGATCAATACCCCAACTTTATTAGAGCACTAGTCCCAAATCTAGGCACTTGTCTGGTACAAAGCCTGAAACCTGCTGTGAGAATTAAACTTGGAATTAAGTTGGGGACAAGTACCTTTCTTTGTTCAGTACAGAAACATGATGCGGTTTCTAAATTTAATTTCAAATTCTAATAGTGTTTTTCAAAACTTTGAAAAAGCATATGTTGTGAGAATTACAAATATTGCTGAACGCATGTAGCCAGAGCAAAAGCAGTCATATCCAGAAATGATTTCTGTTTCAGGAGTAAAACTGGGTCTATCTTCTCTGGTTTACCATGGCAAGTGATGGAACAGTATACAAGTGTTAGGTTTTATTGATGTAATTTATAAAGCTGGATACCTGTTTCCCACTTTGACAAATTGATAAATATTATCTTTCGAATTTTAAGATTTTTGGAACCGTGCAGGACAACAGATATTCTTATAGAAACTGTTAATTCCTGTTGCTTCAATGCCTAGATTTTGTGACCTTTTATATTTGTGTTTTTCTCGTAAGCTACAGACAAACTTTGTTAATGCAAACTATTAGACAATGTTTTCGTCATACGGATCTTGTGCATCCTAAATCATTTACAAGTGTCCATTTACCGTCCATTTTTATTTTTCTGTATTTTGTTTAGGATGGTAGCAGTTAAGTAAACATAAGGACTCTATTTTTATGAAAATAACAATTCCTATTTACTCAATGGCCTCCAAGCTAGGTAGAAGTGCAGGTATAGTAAACATTTAAGTTCAAGAGGTGCTGCTTTCCTGGGATGGTACTGATAGATGGGATCCATTTTAGAACTTCTTGGTGTGTTTTCTTGAGTTTGTATTGATGAGCTTTGTCTGTATAAATGGTCAATGGTTGTCTAAACGCTGTACCATATTGTTCACTACAACAGAATCTCCAAAAATATTTCTGTCCAGTGTTAAATGTAAGTAAACATCCTTATCTTATTACCAGCATGGTGGTGTGTTGACTGCAGTTATTCTGGTTAAGATTAATTCTCTGTATTCTCCTGACCTTTAGTACTTTATCTAATTCTTTGTTTCTCATGACTTTTAAACTTTTAAATCATTACGCTGCTGATTTTAACATCTACATCAAAGGTTTTGAACTGAGGCCAAATACTTAAGTAGTGTTTCTTCTTTCTCCAGTATCTGGCCTTAAGAAGTGCAATGAATCTTTGCCCATGGCTGTTTCCAGCCACATGGCTGTTCTCCATGTGTAAGTTATAACCTTGAATATTGACAGACTAGTCTTAAGTGTGGTATTCATTTTGGTTTGAACATGTTATCACTTAAGGCCACAACATGTACAGTCCAGGAGGGGTCACTGCAGACACATCAGGACTGTGAAACTTGGTTTAATAATTGTTTTACCTTCATGTACCTGAGCACTGAGCCTGATTGGTATGATTGTCATCTAGTAGAAAAAAAGGGGACTGAGCATACGGTCAGGATTAGTCCTGAAATCCCTTTGGTCTTTATAATTTATTACACCATTAATAAGAGCATTAATCACTGAACTATCAGAGAAAGTGTGTTAGAGCACTCCGTTTTCTCTATTTTTTTAAAAAATTAAACTTTTTTTTAACCATCATTATTAATTATGTTATTTGCACGTGAGTTTCCTTTGTATATTGCTTGGCCAGTGTAAGAACCACTGAAATAGATTCCCAGTAAAGTGGATACTTCCTCCTCTTAGTCTTATTTCTCTCATTTTCTCCTATCCTCCCTGGAAGAAAGAAGCCATTGACTGGGGCATGATTTTATAAGTATCTGTACTTTACTCCAGTTAGCATACATCATGTCGGAGCCTATACTTGATAGTAGGCGGTCACTTTTATCACAGTACATCAACAGTGAACTCAGACCTGACCTTAGCTGATATCCAGAAAAATTTACTTCAATCAGAATCCAGGCTGATATTCATCACTAATATAGGGGTACCAAAGTTAATTCTGATACCTTTATGTCCTGATTAAAACTAGTTAAGCTAATAGCGGAGTGTATCAATTAGGTGTTCACTGGTTCATTGGAGAAGTTAGGAGTTAATCTTAGTGCAAAAATGTAGCTTCCTGAAAGAAGATTTTTAACAATAAAAATCAAAAATTAAATTTGAAAAACTTACACAATGTCCTAGTGGGATTTGTTTCCATTAATAGCTTCCATTTTCTTTGAAAAAAAAGCGGAGTCAAGGCTATGAGGCAGACCACTATCAAGGCTGAAAACAGGAAAAGAAAGGTAGAAAGTAGTGATTAGACCACAAAGCGTGGCTTTAATTTCATAGACATTTCATAGGGCGGAAAGACAGATATTTGTTTGGAATTCTGGGAGAAATTGCATTAGAGTAAGAGACTATGAGGGTATAGGCTGTTTTTATTTACGCTAAGAATAAGCAAATGAGC